CAAACACATATACGAATATGCCGGTGGTACAACAGAAGCTGTCTCGATAAATTCATATTATCTATAAATAATTGTTAATGCATTACTGTCACAAAACAGCTTTGCAACAAGATAACGTAATGTACGATCAATAAGTCAATTCCTTGAACCACGTATCAAGGAACGATATCTGCGCTATCACAAACACTTTTGCTCTACTAGCAGACTACACAAAGCCTTAGACGCCTCGTATTTTACGTTAAACACTAAGTTGGAGAATCCACTTTATTGCATGATGTACTGCATTTATATACTATTCCTCAATAGTTCATGAGTCATAGTTAGTACAATTAACTTTGAAATCATTTACTGAATTAGATATTAATTTATAGCTACTGCTCCCTTAATGCAGATAACAGTATTTACGAACACAGACATCTGATGACTAATACAGAATAGTCAAATTACGATATGTCTTATCACGGAACATTTCCACAACAATTTACAATCTACCATAAGTAAGTTACAATCATATGATTCGAACTGTAAGTAGATGATTTGCATTCCCTATTATAACTATTAATTTGAGTATGCGTATAAGTGTCACTGTCATAAAAAGTCAGTACTATATTAAAACACAGTATATCCAAATTAGAAGTTAACTAAATAAGGATAGGTTAACAGAATTATCCTAAAATAGATATTTCTACTCTAATACAGTATATAACACTGTCACAGTGCTAATTCCAACTTCGGTAATGCCAGCGTTACCGTTAAAGGCGTTTAATGCCAGGCTATTACCGGTATTACTTACATTTCCTGATAAATTACCGGTAATGGACTGGCCAATATCGGTATATATGCATTGCTAGATATGATTTTTGCGACCATGAATAAACATTACAGGCAGAAAGATTCGATTTCCACCCCTGGGCGATCGAAGACTTATATTTTGATTAAATAGTTAAGCATTTCTCCTATATTTGTAAAGAAAATTTCAATTACAATCTTAATTCCTATTTGCCTCGAAATATTTCATTTTTAATCATTACCATTATAAAAATTATATCTACTATGAATACGAGTATTCGCTTAAAGCCATAAATTTAATATCGATATTACTTGACAATAGCATCAATTTGTAGATACAGCAAAGATCAATTCTATGGCCTAAAGGATTCAGTTTTCTGAGGTACTGTGATAGATTCAATTTCAGAAAATTTTAAAGGATGGAAATAGTCTTAGATAAAACTAGATGATGAGAATTCGTGCAATGTTTTAGTTTTTACTTAGGAAAATGCAAAGCTGCAATGTTTAGTCACCCAACCTATTACATATAAAATTCCATTTATTCACTTTCGGCTTACTAATCTATCCATACGCATTACCTTATACAGTAGATGAGCATAATAACTATTCATGTATAAACACCAGATATATTTCTGAAAGACATTGTGGTTCAAGCATAAGCAAAATGTCCGAAAGGAATTCTTTATTAGAAAAGGATCGATATCTTAATCTAACTTCCGTAAATTTTGCGACATAAGCCTGCCCAAGTATGATAGTAATTTCTGTTGACATTTTATATTTCTCTTTACGAGTATTATCATAAAATTTGATATTTTTAACCAATCACGCCATAAATATAGATTTCGGAATATTTTGATTTATCTGCAAAATGAAGCAGTGAATTTATCAATCTATCCAGAAAATTTTTCTTAAGTTAGTTCTTTAATTACAATCAAATTGATAAATGTTCATAGATATCGGTAGTTGTAAGATTAATTTAGTCCATTTTGCAAGGCAAGTAAATGAGTAATCGATTTTTTGTTTTTTGATTATGAAAAAATTCGATACATATGCATTTTTCTTCTTTTTATAAGATTATCTGTTACGTCAGCAATTATTAAATGATTTATTAATGTTGAAAGCAGAAGAAGATATTAATATTTAAGCTGATAAAAATTCCAGAGCATAAATCAGTACTATAAATATTTCTAAATCTGTTAGCGTTACCATTATTATAAACGTAAATCAATATCGCCAATTAAATACTACTACCTACATTCTTTGTCAACATATTTATCACGATTACGACTGTGAAATTGATCAATTTTATAGATATATGACAAATAATTATAAATTATGTATTTTTGTTACGAATAGATGCAATGACACGAGACAAGTGAATTGTAAATGAAGTAGCGCTAAAATGAAAACTGAAAAGAGCAACTGAAAATTGTTTTGGCCATTGATATTAATTTAGTCTTTCTACTATACTGTCTTCCTTGTAAGCACTACCTTTCTAGTAATATTTGTTCCTGTAAATATTACGATAATATGCTTTATAGGAATCTCTATGTGCTTTGATTTTGCGAAAAAGTATTAATATCAACGAGCTACAGTATCTTTGTCTTAGCTTGACCAGTTAATTATAACAATTCTCATAATTGTCTATATTACGCGAAATCAATATGCTGTTCTATTCTCAATTATTTATATAGCGTACAAAGCGTTTCAGTATCAAGTAAATTAACAGCAATTATGAACTAATTTGCAACATATTATTATTATGAATTATTTTTCGAGAACCATTTAAATTATCGATAAATTAAATAATTTTACTGATAACGATTTTATGCATAATTCATAAGCTTGACCATATCTGATTCTTCATAAATTTCGTTAGCCAATTTGTTACAGACATCAAAATAACTAAGATATTAATATCCATACTATTTTCGAACTTCAGTCACCGAACAAAGCTACGTTTCTGCAAGATCTGCATTTATTAAACATTTTAATTGTAAAAAACTAAGGATTGTGTATATTCCATCCGGCACTTACCCTAAGATAAAATTAATCAGCTTATACTTAGAAGAAAGTGAAATTTAGTTGGCTAACCTAAACTTTGTAATAGTTCTATAAATTAAAACTTTTCTGAGAAGCAATACCTGGATCTATCTCAAATTTAAAGGGAGCAATATGATATTAGGCTATTACTCTGGATCATAAAAATTATAAAAGATGCCATTGTAGTGCTTATAAGTGTCAAAATCTTTGGTAAAATTAATTTACAAGCTGTCACGGTACGAACGACAGTGAAGAATTAAATGACTAAATTTAGTGAATTATATATGTTATACATACGGTGATTACAATTAGTTGCTTACAGTAGGAATCACTGAAGTCACGATATACAGTATTACAGTAAATTATATTTTGTACCGTAATGCAATATTTATACAGTACAAGTTCTCGTAATTGAAATTTTGACTATTGATAGATTGCAGGTGTATTGAAAAGACTCTATGAGTGGACATAGTGCAGTCCTATCAGGTAACATTAGTCGGTAGA